TGTTTGTTGTCTCTTTTAGAACGAAAACGATTTCGTTGGGTCAGGGTCAGGGACCGCGTGCAGAAAAGATGATCACGGACGCAGTGCGTCACGGCCAGTGGGTTGTTCTGCAGAATTGTCACGTCGCCTTCAGCTGGATGGGTGACCTAGAGCGTATTTGCAATGACACCACATTAACGGAAAACGCACATGCCGACTATCGACTGTGGTGCACCTCGTATCCCAGCTCAGTGTTTCCCGTCTCGGTGCTGCAGAACTCGGTGAAGATGACAAACGAGCCGCCCAAGGGTCTGCGCGCGAATATGCATCGCTCATTTACCTCGGATCCATTAATGCGCGACAAGTTCTTTACAAACGCTTTCCTGTTCTCCGACCAGGCCAACAAATGTTGGACACGCGGTGTCTTTGCTTTGGTCTTCTTCCATGCCGTCGTGCAGGAGCGGCGCGAATTCGGACCACTTGGCTGGAATATACCCTACGAGTTCAATGAGTCGGATTTGAAGTGAGTATTTAAGAATTTTGTGTAATGAATGGGAATATTAAGATAGAGTTGACAGTTTCTGTAGTCGATTTCCTATATTTCTATAAGTTATTTCGGATTATCCCTTAAATTTCTCCTTTTAGAATCTCCTTGCTGCAGTTGAAGATGTTCATTGCGCAGTCCCATAGCATACCCTTCCGTGGCCATGTCTATCTAACCGGCGAGTGCAACTACGGCGGTCGTGTGACCGACGACAAGGATCGTCGTCTGATGCTATCACTGCTCAATATGATATACAATAGCAATACAATAGAGGTTGATAAGTAAGTAGAATCGCTCATATAATCCACTGGTACAACATTCTATCTATCCTGCCAGCTATCCCTTGTCCCAGTCGGGCAACTATTGTGTGCCGCTGAGTCCAACGAAAGCGAATTCAATTGAGTATATTTCCACATTTCCGCTCAGTCCACAGCCCGAGGTTTATGGCTTGCATGAGAATGCGGATATTAATCGCAATGTGAAGGAAACTAATGCGGTATGTAATAGAACTTTTTGTTATATATATCATTGTGAATATATATCCTGGTATGTATCCTCCTCACAGCTCATCAGTGGAGTGCTGCTCACACAGACCGATTTGATGGCCTCGGTGAAGGCAAGCTCGGCAGGCGGCGCTAAGGAAGATCCCGCCATTGCTATATGTAAGGAGCTATTGTCGCGTCTGCCCGATGAATTCGATCTAGATGAGGTGTCGAAGGCATATCCCGTGATCTATACCAATTCAATGAATACGGTGCTGCGACAAGAGCTCATACGGTTCAATCGTCTGCTCTCTTATATACGCAAGAGCCTGGTGAATGTGGGCAAGGCTGTCGTCGGTCAGATAGCGATGATACCCGAACTGGAGCGCACACACGCGTCCATGATTATAGGCAAACTGCCAGCGGATTGGTTGAAGAAGAGCTATCCATCGCTCAAGCCCCTGGGCAGCTACGTGAGCGACTTTCTGGCCCGGTGAGTGCGCCCTGTCACATTTCTATTTTACAGCCATCAATGGGCATTGTACTCCGGCTGCTGCTCCGGCGCTGCTGTTGAGTTCTTTTGCTGCAATTGTGCAAATATAATAAAAATGTATATGTGGAATACATTCCATCCACCTTTCATATAACCCCAGCGCATGTGCTGCTGTGGCCATTCATAGCGAAAATCTTATTTGCCATTGACATCAAAGGACGATGCCATTTGTGTGTGTATCCTCTTGGCAGTGGCATTGTGCTTTTGCTTTGTGCTCAAATATTAAATATTTATTAACAAATTGAAAAATAAGATAACTCATCATCTACCCATTTCTCCTGTTATCTCCGCCTGTCCAGCTTGGCCTTCTTTCAGGATTGGATAGACAACGGTGAGCCGAACGTCTATTGGATATCGGGCTTCTACTTCACCCAATCTTTCATAACGGGCGTTCTGCAGAACTATTCGCGCAAAAATCGCTTTCAGATCGACATGATTTTCATAGAGTTCGCCGTCACCAAATTCGAGTCGCAAACCACACAGGTGGCCAGTGTGGGCGCTTATATAAGGGTAAGTTTAAGACACTCAGACTGAGCAATAGACCTGATTGAAAAACTTGTTAAATACTTAAACAATTTCACATTTGCTGACACTTTAAACTCTTAAGGAACAAAAAGAGATTAATGACGAGACAAAGTTTATACAAGTAAGAAAAGCTTTAGCGTCTATTGAGAACTCATATCAAGAAAATTAACTTAAATTTCTCTTTAGTTATATTTAGCATTTAGTCAGAGTTTGATATATTGTTGCATTTTTTTCACTCATTATCTTTGTAATAAATCACACGAATAATCTTTCTTTAAGATCAGCCAGCATCGTTCTAATTACTTTTTAATTACTCTAGTCTTCATTTTAAGTGCAAGTTAAATGGATTTATAAGAATAACATTCAAAGTTGTACTAACAACAACTACTGTACTTAGCTACCTAATTTACGTTTCTTTCTAATTCTTAGCTAATTACATTAATAGCTTTGAGTCTGAGTTAAATTCTGTTATTAATATAATATATTTCTTTATTTCATTTTTTTTCATTTGAGTACACGCAGTTTCATCTTGAACTCTTTGGCATAACTTTTATCTTTTCTTTTGTAAATTCTAAATGAAGAGATTTGCCAAGTTCTTATTCTATACTAATCCGGGGCAAGCCCACGCCTCACGTTTCTCTCAAACTGCACGACTTTGCACAGCTTTCTAATTCAGAATCAGATTTACAACTTGTGTCTTTTTTCTTCTCTGACAACAGGGCATTTTCATAGAGGGCGCTCGCTGGAATCGCAAGACCAAAGAGGTGGACGAATCGTTTTCCAAAATTTTATTCGATACTCTGCCTGTTATCTATTTACGTCCAGTGCTTCGAATGCCGGAAGACATACCGCGCAGCAGCGGTGGTGAGGAGCCACGCCCCAAAACTGGCTCCGATGGTTTCCCCATTTACAATTGTCCCGTTTACAAGACCAGCGAGCGACGCGGCATTCTCTCCACCACCGGCCATTCGACGAATTTCGTAATGTATCTGCAGCTGAGATGCTCCCAGACGGAGATGCATTGGATTAATCGGGGCACCGCTTGCCTCTGCCAGCTGGATGATTGAAAATTGACCCACGGACGGGCCCCAAGCCGGATGTGCCACACAATAAGTTACACATATTATAGGCCAACACGGGGCGAACGGATGCATGAATTGAAAATGAAACTGAAAATGGCAGCCGTAGTGTATTTCACTGCCCACGAAGGATCGTCCCACCATACCTGGCCATCACACATATACATATATATTTTTTTGTATTCTTGCGTTTTACATATATGTATGTGTATATATCAATATTTTTTCCCCCGACGCGAAGTCCGGCACAAGCTGCAACTGCGATTCTATTTGTTTATAACCGTTTTTACCAACGATGCCACGTGCCGGGCAGTGGCATTTTGATGATGATGTTGATTGCCAGATATAAATTAAATATGCGGAATACTATATAGCAATGGCTGAGAATATATGTATGTATACATATACAAATAAATATATTTTTTTTGGTGCGCCATTTACATATGAATAAATGAAACAGGAGCATAAAGATATATATATCATTGTGTTTTTCTATAGATTTTAAACTGGTCGGAAGCATATGCACTAGTTATCTTGAATATAGTTTAGAATTAAACGAAAATAGATTTTCCAAGGTCATGGACACCAGAAATATAGCATGAAACAAGATTGAGAATGCTTCAACACATTCTAAGCTCGACATTCTCAGACGCCTACTTGAAAGATCACCATAATAATGTTTCAAGTTGATGATTATGTTGTTGATGATGATAATCGAAAAGATTTGAGAGATTTATTGCGTGTTTTGCGCACAATTGGAGCAGCCACAGCAGACTTGAATTTTAATTCAAATTGCCACGGGCCAAGCACATTTGAATGTATATTATAAGCACATATTAGGAGAATAAAAATATGCCAAAGTTTGCGATTGGATTGAAAGATCTATTATATCATCTGGCTATTATTAGATGCCTAATGTGGCGTAACCGAAAATAGCAACACTCAAGAGCATTTCTGTCCATCATGGCATACACCACACCACAAAACGCACACACACTTCGTTTGGCCTTAAGCGTTATACAAGAGACGCAAAAAAAAATTAAATAAAAAAAATTAAATAAAAATAAAATAAATAAATAAAATACAAAATAAAACAATATACGCAGCTGTCCATCAGTCAATAAACTGAAGAAGCGTCCATAATGATAACAATAATAACAACAACAACAACGACAATGACAACTTCCGCTTGCAATTACCAGGCGACTAGGCATTGAGTTGATTGTTCAGATTGACCCCAACCGCAGCCATTCATATGCAACACAGCCCATAATTTTTGATACAAATAATCGAGAAGATGAAGAATGCAAAGAGCCCTCAACTATTGTTGATTCTGTTAGCGTTTTGAGACAGTTAAACAAAATAAATGAAATAAGCAAAAGCCAAATTCAGAAATCGTGGCCGCCACGTTCAACATGCTGTTGTTGTTGTTGTTGTTTTAGCTGTAGAAGTTTTTTTTATCGACATCGCAATCTATTGTTGGCTTTCGTTTTGTTTTATAGATATCTCTATATACATATATATTTAGATATATGTGTCTTTTATATTATTTAGTATCTGAATATTATGGCCAGACGACCGACTACAATTGATATACTTTTTGAGACTCTTTTAACAATAGCAACTAGCCAACAAGACAAACCACCTAAACGCGGCTAATGCCGGCCATCAATGGAGCTGAAGTAGTCGCGTTGAACGAAGTCGATCGACATCAGCATTACCATCAGACGATCTCGATCGTACATCTATGATGCGGTAGTTGCCGCATGGATCAGTAACCGGTTTCATTTTTTGGATCGTCTCTAAAGTGAATGGCAGAGTGGCAGCGGCGAGAACTTTTTCGCAAAATGCTGTGTATAAATAGTGTCGTAAGGTCTGGTTTCAAAACAGAATCAAATTTGGATTAATCTCATAGACACGCATCGTCAGGGAGCATCTTTTAATATGGTTAGTCTGACAGCTTCCTACCTCCTCTTGGAAATCAAACACAGGACTAACTCAATCAACTATAACTCCAACTTCTACTACCTTTGCAGAAATTCTTTGTTATTGCCTTTGCTGTGATCGCAGCTGCTGCGGCTACATCCATCTCTTCGGAGTACCTGCCACCTGTCGACAATAACCTCGAAGTCGTCGCTGAGCCCATCGATCTACCCGTCGATCAGGGAGCTCTAACTGATGAGGGCTACCGTTACAAGACCGTCCGCCGCCTGAAGTACCGTCACCGTCGTGATGTCAGCGAGCTGCCCTCCGCCGAGTACCTGCCCCCTGTTGCTGAGGTTGCCCAGGACATCAGCATTGCTGCTCCCATCGAATCCGCTCCTCTGGCTGATGATGGCTACCGTTACAAGACCGTCCGCCGCCTGAAGTACCGTCACCGTCGTGATGTCAGCGAGCTGCCCTCCGCCGAGTACCTGCCCCCTGTTGCTGAGGTTGCCCAGGACATCAGCATTGCTGCTCCCATCGAATCCGCTCCTCTGGCTGATGATGGCTACCGTTACAAGACCGTCCGCCGCCTGAAGTACCGTCA